GTAAAAAGTGGGGGTCTGTTGATAGAAGTACCCTTAGCAAAGGTTTGGTTTTGTTCGACCATTTTCGAAATTTGAATGACTATCAAAGCAAGCTCTGATACCACTTGTTAGAACTTGCGCGCAATGGAATGTTTGTGGTCACGGACAAAACCAAGAGGGGGGTGAATTGGTTTCTTATAAAAATTAGGATTTTCAAATTTTTTCCAAATTTCACCGATTAAAATACTTGTAAAGTAAAGAGAGAAAGGATAAGAAGATTACACAAGTGTTTTATACTGGTTCAGATCAAAAGACCCTATGTCCAGTTGCTAATCACTCTAAAAGAGGATTAACACTATCACTATAATCACAGTTCAAACAGATTACAAATACAAAGATAAAGATTAGAAAACACCTCTCTTGAGTCACACAAGAGATGAGCACCTCCTTTGAATCCACAAGGGATGAACAACAACTTTTCCTAGAGATAGCAAAACACACAATCCACCAAGAGTCTCACTCTGTGATTCTTATCGCTTCTAACCCACACTAGGTTTCAAAAACCCATTTTTCTTCCTTACAGAAAGTTCTCTAGCAATCACAGCTTTTAACTTTTGTATGAAAAAGGTTTTTTATTTTGCAGAGAGCCTTAGAGAACCTTAAGTAAAGAGATTGGGGTTTGAGGAATAGAAGATTTCGAAAACAGAAGAATTGGGAATAAGGTTTTCGTAAATTGGTCCAAATTCGAAATTCAAAACTCATAACAGACATAGATAATAGATTATCTGAAGTGATAATCGATTATTACAGAACCATTTTCGCAGAGGAGTAAAACAGGACCAGGATAATCGATTATCTGGCTTGATAATCGATTATTCCAGAACTTTCAAACTGGGATAATCGATTATCAACCCAGATAATCGATTATTCTAGCAAAGTTTTCAGAAAACAGGTTTCAAAGCATGATAATCGATTATCCTGAGTGATAATCAATTATTATAGAGTGGTTTTGATAAAAATGAATTTTCAGATGATGGACTATGTGTTGGCTATCTTACTCTAATTTTACAGACTAAAAAATATAAAACAGAGTTATTACAAATAACTACAAATGCTTATAAGTCTTCAAGACTTCAAGTCCTTTGATTTAGAATCATCATCAAAATCTTCAGGCATCATACTCATGTATAGTCAACACAACAACCTTCCCAACAAGGATCACAACAACAACAAAAGCAACAACAATCACAGGAGCAACAAGAGCAACAACAACAACAATAGTCACAACATCAATAATAATCAACTTTCGCAGAGCACCCTGAAAATGAACAAGGACATTACTCAAATTATTAAGACACTCAAACAATATTGTCATAATATTTATTATAGTACTTCTTTGGATTTATATGTTCTGAGATATGTGAATGACTATTTGATGCATGCTAATATTAGCAATTGTGTTTGATATCTGAATATGCACTTGGTGCATATCAATATTATGGAATATTATTGTTAAATTTGATATTTAAATACTTTGTGTGTAATATGCATGTAACAGGTAAAATTTAGTTAAATCAATGAAGGGTGGGGTAAAAAATTTTAAATTTATCTAATGATTTACCTACGAATTGTGTCTGTGGATAATTATCTACGGATTTTAATCTGTGGGTAATTACTTACGGATTTTAATCCATGGGTAATTACCTACGGATTTTAATCCATGGGTAATTACCTACAGATTACAATCCGTAGGTAATTACCTATGGACACAATCCATAAGTAATTACCCACATACAACATTACCTACGGACAATAATTCCGTAGGTAAATTACCTACGACCATATTACCTACGAATTTTTTCTCGTAGGAAATCCGTAGGTAAAATGATATTACCTACGAATTTTTACCATTATCTACGGATTTTTGCCGTAGATAATACAGTTTTTTTGTAGTGTGTTGTGAATAGTCCTTGTTGTGTTGGTTGGCCATCATAAAAAAAAAGGAGATTGTTAATGAAGAATGAACATGATTGAAGAATCATTTTTTATGATGTTCTAATAGATAACTATGTAGGTAGTTGTATAAGTAGTTATTGTTAAGACCAAATGATTTGATCCTTGTTTAAAATAAAAAAAGGTAAAAAGTTAAAACAACTAATTGATTATGTTAAGACTAATTAATTAAATTTGTATTAATCGATTAGATTAATACTTAATCGATTATATGACTTAAATTTATGTTTTGCTAATAATCGATTATATTGTCACTTAATTGATTATGTGAATACATCTCATGCTTTGACATCACACGCTGATGATCGATTATATTACTTACTTTCGATCTATCACTTGTATGCAAATAATCGATTAGATTTTTTGCTAATCAATTATCTGAATTAAATGTAACATATTTTAATCTTTTAAAAGGAATAAAATTTTAATTGATTATGTACATCTTGATAAAGGATAAAAACATTGAAAAGGAAAGTTTTAGTGGGCATTAAGGCAACATTTTGATTCGAGTAAAATATCAAATTTAAAAGTGAAATTATTTGGCTATACTGCAAAATTTGAGTGGAAATTCAAGTTAAGGTTGTTTGAATAATTTCATGTATATTAAAAAAATTGAACCAAGTATAAAATTATTGTGTTCTCCTCTCTTTTTTCTTTATCTTTGTATTTTTTGACACCTTAACTCATTTCTAATTCTTTTTCAATATGATTATCTAAAAAGATTTTACAAACTTAATTCATTCTCTTTTAGATGTGTTTAGTCATTCACTTTTCCTTATAGAAGAAAAATTAAAAGAAAAATAATGATAGAAAGATAGATGAAAAATAAAGAATAAAAGATAGATGAAAAATAAAGAACAAAATGCTTAAGTTTTTGTTATATGGGAGAGAAGTGGTTACGGATTAGATTTTTCAAAATCCAGTCAAGGTTCATATATATTTTTACTGCATTAGGGACCAGAGTATCTCTAAAATTAAATAGTAAATTTTCTTTGAAAAATAAATATTATGATTAAACAGATAAAAAAATTATCAATTATTTATAAAGTAAGATAAACAATTTAAAACCATTAATGATTTGTTTAGTTAATCAAGGTTAACTCGTTTTTCAACCTACACATAATTAATTTTTAAATCCAAATTGACTTCTAAATCCAATTAAAAAAAAAACATATTTATATTTATTGAGGTTTATAAAGTTTTTCCATTAAAAATATCTGTGCCAAGTGTTTTATTTTTTCAAAACTTTATTGATTTCAGTTTTGATCTTGTTACCTTCAACTGTTTATGAAGGTTTCAAAGAAATCTAAAATAATAGGAATGGGTAGAACACAGAAGTTGATCTCGAAAGAAGAGGAAAACTCCTCCATATCTAAGATTTTGTAGGTTAAAAGTTAGTAAAAGGTAAAGAAGATGTAGGAAGTGGTGCCTAAACTCGCTCTTGATCCCTTTCGAGGTCCTTCAAGAGGTTCACTGTGCCTTCTTCTTTTCTAGAGAAAATGGGGCTTCTCTTTGTAAACTGGCAGATATTGAGGGATTTCGGAAGGTCAAAGGTTGTGCCAAACAAAATCTCTCAGACCATGTGGACCAAGTCTCCTTTTAGCTAATTTCACTTTTTCATAGTTGACTACAAATATTTTAATGCTAAAAATTAAAATTACTAATTAAGATAATAAAAATATTTAAATTAAGATAATTGTTATATCTAGCAACGAATAATGTCTCCGTCCTATGTCTAATATAATACAGTTAATTACCACGTTCAATATATTTCTCATTGTAATAATAAAAGTCTTTTCTATTTCTATCCTTAATATACAATTTTAAAAAAATAATATGAAATTCATTTTGTTCGTAATACATAAAAAAAAATTTACTCGTTCTTCTGTAAGTGTAGAAGATTAATATATATATATATATATATATATATATATATATAATATTAAATAAAGATAAAAGTTACCTATAATTACTTTTTAAATATTTTTTTTAATGTTTACCATTATTTACAAAAAAAAACTAAACAAAATTCATCATGTATGCTTAAACATATAAGTCTCTGTACATAATTCTTATCAATAAAAAAAATTAAAAAAAAAAGGGTAAGTGTTGAAGAAACTTTAGAAACCCACTTCCACTTCCTAATCCACAAAGTTTTAATTAGTCAAAGCACAAACTATTCACACATGGCTCAAAATCTGTTTGTGATTCTCAAACGAAAAAACTATTCCATAAATCACGGTAAAAAAAATGATAAAAAAATAAGTTTGGATAAAATTTTCAAAATTGCATTCATGTTGTCAACCACTCAACCCTAGCCATATTTCGTTCACGTCATGTTGTAAAAATTTATTAATTGTTCATCACGCTCATGATTTTTAATGTAATCTCTTTTCCAATCACATAATTAATTTATTTAGCTATTATAAGTTCTTTTACGGAAATTCATTTTTATTCTTTCAAAAAACCTAAAATTCAATAGCTAAAACTTAAAATTTCAGTGGAAAGTAAAGTATCTATTATTTGTCTACACAAATTATTCAATATAAAAATTTTCCAACCAGCGCTTTATTTATAGTTACTTAATTTTAAAATTAAAAAACCTAATTATTTTACTCAACCGAAAATAGATAGATTAAAATTATAAATTTGTAATAATAAGCAATTAAATTATAAGGGATATACCGCTACTTACTAAATACTTTAAACCAGATAAATAAATAAAGCTACACAAAAGATAATTACTCTTGTTTTTTCTTGAGAAAAAAGACAAATTGTGACGAATACTGTAACATGCACGAAAGTATCCAATGACAAGAAAACTATCAATTCTTCCACATTTCCTCTATGTCGTAACTGAGAAGGCATGAACATATCCAATTTATTATTAATCCATTACATACTCCATGATCCTAATCGCAAGGGAAGAATTATACTCCTAAGGGAAATTATTATAACCTTGATGAAGTTGAAAGACTATATTAAATATGGCATATGTGATGATTTCTCTATCTATAACCTTCAATGGCTTTTGCCACGTGAGATAGAGCGGAATAGGACGAACCATCCATGGACATGGCTTTCATCGCACCTTCTTGCACCTCTCTCACTCTTTTCCGGATGCGATTGCTCTTCACACTATCCTCGCCCTCAATAACCTTCCTCACCATTTCTGATATCTCCTCTCTACGCACCACCTTCTTCGTCGGCAGCACCGCCGGCCGCACCGCCAGGCCCAGCTCCTCCGCCAACAACGTCGCGTTCATCCTCTGCTCCGCGTACAACGGCCATGCGATCAACGGAATACCGTTCGTCACGCTCTCCAACGTTGAACCCCACCCGCAGTGTGTAAGAAATCCTCCAATAGAACCATGACCAAGTATATTTACTTGTTGGGCCCACTCCGGGACCAAAAGGCCCACTTTGCTGGTCCTCGAAGCAAACCCTTCCGGCAAATAATTCGCCACCGCATCAACCTCATTACTCCCAGTGGTGAAAAACGCCGCGTCCGCAGCTCCTTCGGAAGGTGCGCGCAACACCCAAATAAATCTCCGTTCACTCAGCTCCAATCCCCAAGCCAGCTCCGTCATCTGCTCAAACGACATCGTTCCTCCGCTGCCAAACGAAACGTAAACCACCGACTTGCTCGGTTGTTCGTCGAGCCACGTCGTGAGTGAGTCGGTTAAAGAACTGGTTTCTGACTCGGGTTGTCTCACGATAGGTCCCACACCATACACAGGAAGCTTCATATTGAGGGCTTCACTTAACAAACCTCCCTCCCTCAGCGCTTCAAGATCTTCACCTTGAAGCTCCTCCCACGTGTTAACCAAAACGCCGTCGCTTTGCGGAATTCTCTTCGCTATTCCAAGATACTCTGTATACTCTCTGTGGCTCCGGTCCAGCATCTGGTCTACCAAGTCCTCCGGTCGCACCGCGCTGCAGCCCGGGATTTTCAGCGGTTCCTTCTGGTCCACGTATTCTCCTACTATTTTCTCATGCAGCAATGGGGAATACAGAAGCAGCGCGAGAAACCAAGCGTGTGAGGGCACGAAGACGTAGCTTGGAATGTCGAGTTCTCTGGCTGCGGGTATGGCCTCGGTGCTGAAAAAATCCACGATGAGCGCCGAGGGGCGAGGCGTAATTTCGTACATGATGGATTTGATGGCAGGTGTGGATTCGCGCATCATGACGCAGAGGCGCGTGACCATGCGGTCGTTTTGGGCAAGGAGGCCAGTGAGGTCTGGTGAAGGAATATCGATGAGGTGGCAGAGGGAGGGTGTGAGGACTGAGTTGAGGATCTGCGTTTCGACGCGTGAGGTTTGGGAAGTGACGGCGAGGACAGTGACCTTGAAGTTGTGGTGAAGGACGAAGCGCTTAGCGAGCTCAATGACTGGGATGACATGACCCAGACCTGGGCTTGAAACAAGAAGCAGGTGGGTGGGGTTCTGCAATTCCATGGAAAAAGAAGTACGGAGAAGTGTTGCACTGTAATCTCTGTGCTTGTGGTCTGTAGTTATCAATGCTCCATAAATATATTAAGTTGGATACAACCCACGTTAAAGGCAAATAAATGAAGAAAGGGTTAATTCATATAAAAAATTTTCTTTTTTCTTTTTTTTCTACACAGGGAATTAGGTGAAGATTTATGACAAATTTAATATTATAATAATGTTTTTTATCTTATATTCTTGTTTTTTAATTATATTTATTTTAAAAGACAATAATAAATTAATTTTAAATAAGAAATTAAAATAATAAAATATCTTTAAAAATACATTAATACATTTATTAATATAATAATACAATACTTACTAATTTTCTTGATAAAAGATAGATAGTCTAAAACAAATAAATGTTATTCTAATGATGGTTTTTTACATTTCTCAACGTCATCATTACAATAATAACTTTCACTATTGAAATTAATAAAATTCTCCGCTTATACCTATCCAACCTCCATCACATAAGACAATCTTACATTTAATAAAATCAATGGTAAGACATAAAGAATACCGGAGCTTGAATTTTTTAAAGTATTTATTAATATCAATTTCATTAATAAAACCCTTATGACATTTTTTAAAACTTTATTCTTTCAATTACAATTTCAACTGTAAAAAAATTATTCATTAACGGACTAGTATAAGTATCATAATATTTAGTTTTGTATTAAAAAAAATTATTAATAATTTTTAAAATAAAATTATTAATGGAAAAATTATTTAGACTCAAAATTTATAAATTTGTACTTTTTAATTTAAATTTATAAAATTAAAGTTATTTTCTAAAAAAGTTAATATTGTAAAAATTTATTTTTATACTATAACTTATAGTAATTAATATTTTATAAAAATTATTTATGTTAATATTTTATAATTTTATTTTATTTAAATTGTATTTATTAATAAAAATTATTAAAATATATCTTAAAGAATAAATTTTAAATAATAGCTTGTAAAATAAAAATAAAAAAATATCCGTAAGTGTCCCAACGAATATACAAAACACGTAGATATTTTTTAGACGGTTACAGCATAATTTTTATTTTTATTTTTTTACGGGATAGGTAGACAGTACACGTGTATGCCCATCCCATTATAGTTCTTAAATCTCTGTTTGTTTGCAAGGAAAATATGTAGTGGAAAACAATGTAGAAAAATAAATAAAAAAAGAAAAAGATTCATTCTTTAGTAATAAGAAAGCTAACGAAGAGAAAATATCGTGAAAATAATCTACATGTTAATTTTCTCCTTGTATATAAATGAAAAAAAAATTAAATTAAAAAGTCATACTCAGTTGAATAAATAATTATTTATTTTTATATTTATAATTTATATATATATATATATATATATTATTTTATTTTATGTAAAAATTAAAAGTATTTTAATCTCATATTTATTAAATTAATATCGTTAAGGTTAATTTATATATATTGTTTATTTTAAAAAATTTCATTATTATAATTTTATCTTAAAAACATTTCAATTAATGAGTTAAATAAATAAATAAATATATATTTTTTTTAATAAAATATTATATTAATAAAAAAGTTATTATAAAAATTAAATAATAATTTAATTTGAATATATTATTTTAAAAAGCCATTTTATTAATACAAAATAATTAATAATTATACAATTAAATAAATATTTAATTTTAATTTAATTTTATATTATATTATTTTAAAAAATAAATACTTTTCTTTATTTTTATATTTTTTTATAAATAAATAAATAAAAAGTTTTTTTGTTGTCTTTCTTTTCTTTATTCTTTCGTATGTTTTTTTCTTTGCTACCGAAAATACCTAAACGAGACCAATTAAATATTTGACTTCTTTTGTATATGAATATTTATACCGCATGAAGAAATATTTTGAATTGCCATATCCATTTATACTAGTGAGAGAGTTGGATGATTGGAAAGTTTATGAACTTTTTATATTTAGTTTTATCTTTTAATTTTTATATTTAGTTTTATCTTTTAATTTTTAAAAATAATTTTGGATTCTAGTTTTAAAAATGATTTTCTAAAGTAAGTTAAAAAAATGTTTAATAATATTAATTTAATTTTTTTTAACTAAATAGAATAATATTCATAACGACAATAAATTATAGTAAAAATTAAAAAATGATTTTCATAATTTCATGATAATAAAGATACAAAATATAACATAATTATTAAAAAAGATATAAAAATGTTTTGAATTCCCATCATCTCCCATTTTACAAATGACATAGATAACATAAAAAAAATAAACAAGGTTAAGTTTATTAGACAAACACGACCACCAATTAAAAAAGTTCTAGTTCTTTTATTTTTCCTCCAAGTTGCTAACTTTTTATGCAAATTCTCCATAATAGGCTTACTCGGTATCTCTCGTAGTGTATTTACTCTAATTGTTATTCCATGACACAAAGCTAATTAGAAGGTAAGGTCAAGAGTAATTACAGGTACACATTTCACTTTTAATTCATCTATATCTTTTTTAAAAACAAAATTATAATACATCAGAGTTCTTAAATAGACAATATTTCAAATATAAAAATTAACTCTCATAATATTATTATAATAATAATCATAAAGTCAAAAAAACTCTCATTTCTATATAAAATATTAGCAATCATTGTAATTGAATGCTATAATTATCAATTGAAAAAATAATTTATATTCACTTTTTTTACCTATTAAACATTTAGAAATTAACGTCAAATATCTTATATAATTACTTATTTCTTAATTTATTAAAATATTTTTTAAAGAAAAAACTATGACGAATTAAAAATTCAAAATATATAATACCTCATATATTTAAATACATCTCTAAATGAAAAATAACTTCACCTTAAAAATCAACGATAACGATCATGAATGAGAAATAAAAAAATGAAATAAAAATTGAAGTCAACGACAACACCCCGTTACCCAAGTAATCCATATAACTGCAAACCCCAGTACATTAAGCATTTACGACATGAAGGACGACAATAAATGATACGCAATCACGATAATTGGAGGTCGGAGTTGGCTTCACAGCGCAGAAATGGTTTCTTAAATGAATAAAAATCTTAATTTTGTAATTTATCTCTTCATTTTGTTTCTTCTTTTTACTCATTTATCACAACAGAATCAAGTGATGGCAAGAGGAAAATATCTAGACTCGCTTTCGCTTATTAGTTAGGTGTGTTTTCCTTTTGCTTAGAAGATGCAAACACCTATATGAACATATATAATTTAGGTATGTTTAAAATTTAAGTTGTTTCTACACTATAAGACGACACATAACACATATTACACAATTTTATACTTTTCTTTTGTCCTAGCTTGATAACCTATAAGAATTGCATAACTCCCCTTCACATGCCTCTGTTGCATAACTCCAATAAGTTGATGATTCCTCCATTGAAGTGGGATAATTTTATCTTGTGATGGTCACATCGTTGCTATAGCAATAAACTATGGGTTTGCTTTTGTATGCGAGCAACATCTGTCTATTTCTATGAAAAAGGATAGAATCATTTTTGCATTCTTAAAAATGAAAAAGTAAAAAAAAAAAAAAAACACGCCTAATCATGTTTACTATATTGTATTTTCTTTGTTATGAAAAATTTACATGTGGAAGATATTCTTTATTTTAAAAATCTAATTTATCATAGTTTTATTCACACGTTGATAAATTTAAAAAATAAAAAAATATATAAATTTTCTTTAACTTATTCTAAATAATATATGAACTGAGATTTCAACATAAAGCAACAAAAATGCAACTACACAACTCGACTTTAGCTTTGAGATAATTTAAATGCCTCAAAGACGTAATCAAATTGTTGATGGCTTCTACCACGATGATAGTGATAAGACCAATGTCTTACAACTACTTATTCGCCAATTCTTCATTTGTTCAATAAGAAGCAACCACCTAGATTGTCTTCTGCAAGTATCTGCTCGCACGGGGTGTTGTTTAAGCCATGCTTACATAGTAAAATGGTACCAAGAAACATTTTTCAATTGATATTATTTCCTTTTTAGCTTCTTATTTTTCGAAGAAGAAAAAAATATAATCTGTATAACCTGTCCTCGTAGCAGCCTCCTATCACAGTGACACATCAAATTACACATTAAACAATCACTAATTCCTTCTTCATTGAAGCTCAGAGTGACCAATCATTTTGACTTGTTGATAAAAGTATGAATTGGTTTAGAAATACCAGTAAATGCAGATAAAATTGCTTTTAACATGTATTTAGAAATATTATTAACTTTAAATGGGAGATACGGCGTACATACTAACAATACAATGAGACTATGAAGAAGATTTGCCTCTGTATTTTACAATTATTCCCCACAATTTTCCTGTGCCTATGTATAAAAGAGAGCGTAAACACATTCATGTATTCAACTTCAGCAGTGTGCACCATCCCCATGGTCAGACAGAAAGAAAAATGGGGTTTTAAAACTCAATTGTTCCAGAAAAAATTCAATTTAGAGACGAGAAGATGATTTTGTAGACCTTGGCTCTTTACTATACTCATACACGCCAATACCTCGTTTTCTTCCAAGTCTTCCAGCATCAACATACTGCACAAGGAGAGGGCAGGGTGCATATTTATTGTCTCCAAGACCAGCATGAAGAACTCTCATTATTGATAAGCACACATCCAACCCAATGAAATCTGCAAGTTCTAAAGGACCCATTGGATGGTTAGTACCCAGCTTCATTCCTGTGTCAATATCCTCTTTGGTTGCAACCCCAGCGTAGAGCGCAAAAAATGCTTCATTTATCATAGGCATAAGGATTCGATTCACTATGAAACCTGAATAATCCTTCGAGGTTATAACTATCTTGCCCAGCCTGCATATTGAACAATCAGATAATTAAAAGAACAATAATATGACTATGAATTCTGTCCTGCTGCTGAGACAAGTCAGAATACAAAACTGAACAAATAGTCCACATCCAGAACACACAGCAAAAGTATAAACGGATTCAGATATTAAATTTCTGAGTAATGATATTTATACTCTGCTTTATATCAAACATTGTGTTAATTATTTTTCCTTTCCTACTACATCAGATCACTTATCATACTTATATTTTCTATTCTTTTTTCTCCATCTCTCAATGTTTGGTTGGAAAGAGAGAAATTGAGAGGATTTTTCAATTTGTATGTTTGATGAGAAATAGATAAGGAAGGGAGACTAAAAGATAGATGTGTCTTGATTTTCTTTGTTTTTGAAATGTTAATGGCTAGCATGTTGGGGAATTCTTCATCTCCTTCCATTTTTAACATCAAATCAATATTGTGTCTTGAAATAGATGTGTCTCATGAATAATCTTACTCTATTTCTAACATATTTTCATTTTTTTTCTTTATTTCTCTTCATTTTCTTTTACTACATGTCTCACCTATTTTCATATATTCATTTTCTTTCATCTCCAATCAGGTCTGTGTTATGTAACATAAGGGGTGTCCATTATTTTTTTCCCTTAAATTTCTCTATAATCTTATTCAGTTGGTGAGAAATTCGGTAGAGAAGGATGCATGAAAAAACTCGGCATGTTTGGTGGAGAAGAAATAAGGTTGAAATACTTTAAAAAATATGAAATTTCTTATTTTATTTATTACATGTTTCTATTAATCTATTTTACTCTCCTTTTCTATTTTTCTTTAACCAAATATTTTAAAATTACATATTATATATGCCTATTTAGGTTAGAAAAGTACATATTCAATATGGAAAATCAGTACTACTCGTATCGTAATCCTTACTGTAGGCCGAGGAGACATATGTATGAATGCATAACACAAGTAGGAGAAATTGAGAACACAAATATTGCTTGAAAATATTCAAACAATCGTTAAAAACTCAAAAATAATATTAAAGAAAATCGTAAGATAAGAACCTCTCAGACAATGCTTTCGTAACTGCAAATGTCTCGTCAGAAGTGTCTGCTCCTCGTACAATCTCAATCAATTTCATCACAGGCGGAGGGTTCATAAAATGCATTCCTATCACCTGAGTAAAATTTCTCTATCCTTATTTCATTTAATCCAACGCGAAACCAAGTAAGATTTTACATTACAACACACGATCTATAGAACTTTCACATTATGATTACTTGCTCGTTGCAAAACAGTGGACCGGTGTCAAACTATAAAACACATTTAGACATTGTTACACACTATTCACAGTGAAACTAACAGTTACTTGTATATGTTAATTTTGAGCTGATTTTATATTAAGTGGAGATTCAACACGACTAATAGAAAAATCTCCATTCAATAAAGGTGTATTTGGTTAATTTTTCTAATGATTTTGTTCTATATTTTATTTTGTTTATAAATGATTCTAAAAAAAGTTTATTCAACACCTAAAAAATTAACCTGTAAGAAGTACCTGACTTGACCGGGTGGTAGAAGATGCTATACGCGTGACGGAAATGGAGCTCGTGTTCGACGCCAAAATCGCAGAACTCTTCGCAATCTTGTCCAATTTAACGAACAAACTCTTCTTCACATCTTCGGATTCCACAATCGCTTCGATGATAAAATCGGCCATGTGGAAGTCCTCCAAATCCGTGGTAAAATGCAGTCGTTTCAACGCATCAGCGCCCGCCGCCTGTCACACACAGAAAGACATTCATTCTCGAGTCACGCAAGTTCTTTCTCACTGTTTGACAAATGAAACAAGTTTTTTTGATAATTTAAAATTAATTTCTCAATGAGGCTAAAATCAAGTATAATTAGGGTTCCCGGAAAAGAGAGTAGGGAATTGAGATTGGGGAGGGTTTGATTTTGGAGTGACCTGAGAGAGAGTGGCTTTGGAAACGAGACGGTGGATGGAGGAGGAGATGGAAGAGGAGGCTTTGGAAAGGGCTTGGGGATCGAGGTCGTGAAGGAAAACATCGACGCCGTGCATGGCAGCAACTTGGGCTATTCCCGATCCCATTTGGCCACCGCCAACCACCCCGATCATCTTCACCTCCGACATATTCTTTTTGCTTTTTCTTTGTTTCCGTCTAAGTTCCGTATAGTGATTCTACATCTGGCTTCTAAGAATTTCTAGAATAAAAAGATAAAATTTTTATAAAATTATACTACTACCAAATGTTGTAAATTAAGGCGTGTTGGAAGACACAGAAGATCACGTGTGGCAGAATATTGTTTCAATAAATGCATAACACAGCTAATGTTAAAGAGAACCTTAAGGATCCACTACAAGACTTCTCATAATTCTTATAGATTTTTTTTATAAATAAAAATTATTTTCCACTCTTCAAAATACACTTCTCTTATTTTTTTCTTCTCTCATTTTCTTCCTGTTATTCTGGGTTATAATTTACTCTTTTGAGAGTTTCTTGCTATATTGGAGGACTTACGCAATATATCACGGATAAGTCCTTAAGGACAGTGATTAAACATGTCTTAGGAATAAAGTTTGTTTATCTCTATTAGCTTTTACAACAATCTTAAGGACTTATGACTGATAGTATGAATACTAACAACAATTTCACACCAGAAAAGACAAACAACATTTCTAAAACTCAAACTGTCTTTGCGAAACCGTTCCCAGACGTTTCGAAAATTGAAGTTTTCATTGGACAAAACTTCTTGGCAAGAACGTATTTCTACTCTCTTAGACATGTATAGAGTGACTTATGCTTTTACAACTACCAAACCTGACTCTAGTGCTCCTACTAAACAATATGAAGATTGGGTTCATTCGAGCAAGGTATGTCAACACACCTTGCTTAGTGCATTGTTTAATGATTTGTTCGATGTGTATTGTTCCTATAAGGAAGCCAAAAATATTTGGGATTCATTGATTCCAAATACATTGCCGAAGATGTCGTGAGACAAAGGTTTGTTATTGGAAACTACTACCGCTGGAAGATGCTAGAAGACAAGGATATCAAGATCCAGATCAACGAGTACCACAAACTACTTGAAGATATTAAATCCTAAAATATAGTCCTACCTGATGAGTTCGTTTCAGAAGTTCTAATCGAAAAGCTTCCAGAATCCTGGACAAACTACAAACAACAACTAAAGCATAGACATAAAATGTCGCTAGCAGATCTGATCATGCACATCATTATCGAAGATACCAACTAGAAGGAGTGTGTTGTTGCAAGGGCTAAGACATTATCAGCTAAGGCAAATAAGATAGAAGACAAACCAACTCCAAAAAGGTACGAGAAAAAACCTGATTATAAGAAGAAAATTAATTTTAAAAATTATTGTCCCAATGGATCTAACCCCACCTTCAAGAAGAAGGGAAATTGTTTTGTCTGTGGAAAGTCAAGTCATCATGCACCTCAGTGCAGACGTAGAATGAGAAACGACAATCCTCCTGTTAGTGAGAAATCGACACAAGGATCGAAAACAGAAGAGAAAATCGAAGATCATATGATTGGTTAAAAAGTTGATAAATCGGAAGGATGGTTGGAAGATACCCGGTGACCATGAGATAGTATGAACGCATAAATCGAGAATGGGAATCGAGAATAAAAAAAGAGAGGAAAACCGATGAAAGTAATGGTAAAGTATAGTGTAAAGTCAAGGTTAAATGAAATCGTATTTGATAACTAGAATCGAGATCGAGGGAAATGGTTATCACGCATATGGAACATGAGAAGTGGCTTTTCACATCGTGGCTAAGGTTAGAAATCGAGGAGCGGTTAAGTTGCACATAGAACGTGGAAGCAGTTTTCTAAACCGTAAGCTAAGGTAAAAAATCGAAGGACGTGCACATGGAACGTGGTGACAGTTTTTATTAACTGCTCTTGGGAGGTTACATTGAAGGATGCCTATAAATAGAACGAACCTTGAAGAAGAAGGGGAAATTGGCAGAGACAACAGAAACACAAGTGAAAAGTCTACCGGAAAATGACGAATCATTAAATTTCTGGCGATCTGGATTTCCATTATCATTGACTGTTTTTACCGCTTTCTTTACTTTCCTTGGTAACTTATGTTCATACAATTTACTTTCATGCAATTTATGTTTATCAACTTTAAGTTTCTGCACTTTCAATTCGATTGTCATTTACATTTCTCTGCAATTTAGATATTTTGTGCTGTTTTTCATTTTGATACCCTTTACTGCTTCCTTTACTTCGCGCTTCTTAAAAAAAAAATATACCAAAAAATAGTATTTTCGATTGGCAATCTGCACACTAGTTGTTGTTAGCATTTTTCAATATTGTGGGATTTTCGATTCTCATACACGTTTCGATTGAAAAGTGTCGCTAGCCTAAGTGGAAAGAATCTATGTGGTCGAAATTTGATCAGAACCTTTAATCGAAATCGATCAAATTTCCACCAGAAACAAATTGGCGCGCCAGGTAGGGGGGTAGTTATGTCGAAGAACACAAAAATTGGTTAGTTCGAAAGTGTATGAGATTGAGGAGTGGACGAGTAATAAGAATGAGTCAAAATCCACCAAATAATCAGAGTAACAATGACATTCTAAATAGTTCACATCCACCAAACACTGGGGGGCAAGTTCACAATGGGAATATGCATGTAATATCGACAATTGTGAGTACGTCGATGCCTGTAAGTACTGAACAAAGCCCAGGCACATTAGCAAACACTCAGTTAGGGGCTAGTACTGTGATGTCAAACAATATGCAAACTACGGGAAACCCCGTAACAACATATGCAGGGTCGTATATGAGCGTAAGGCCGCCTAGGTTTTCGTTTAATAATATGAATGGGGCTGGTACTTCTTCAATACAACGAAGTACGAGATTTAATTTAGGAATGTCCCAAAACTTAGGAACATTTCAAACCTTAGGTATGCCTCAAAATTGTGGAGTATCCCCAAACTTGGGGGTGTCTCAAAATTTAGTAACACCCCATAATTCAGGGAATGCGCATAATTTAGGAACACAACAGACGCCTCCAAACCTAGATCACAGAGCAAACATGGATCACGGGAGATATACATTCGATAGAGATTATCATCGATCAAATTTTGAGACTATCAAAAACGCTAGTACCAGAATTTCCAATAATTCATTAGGAGTACTTCGACAACAAATGGATGAAAGCAATTTCGAGATGGTTAACATGTTATCACAACAGTTGACTACAGTACTAAACCCATTAGTTCAAAACACTATCACTAGTTTTGAGATATTAGCAGACCAAATGGCACATGTCGGGGATGCATTGGCAATACCCCGACAAATGAGGGTCGAAAATAATGTCAATCAGAATATTAACCAAAACGTTAATATCAATCCCCTTTATCTATTAAGGAGAAATTGAAACAATGATCATCATCAGCATGTGGGAAATGAACATCAGCATGTGAGGAATGATACTTATGGAAATTTGAATGAGGGATTTCAAAATATGTATAATCAAAATAACATGCAGTACAATCACATGCTGGGACAAAGGATGAATCCTCAAGGAGTAGAATTAAGACCACCTAGTCAACCGTACTTTGTTTCTCCTTTTCCAAATACGATTCTCGAGACAGAGTTACCTCGGGGATACAAAATAGCCAAATTCACCAAATTTGCTGGAGAAATTGGTGAATCCACTATCGAACATGTGGCGCGATATCAAATCGAATGTGGGGACCTAGCGATAAGTGAGGAATTAAAAATGAAATACTTTCCTAGTTCGCTAACGAAGAATGCTTTCACGTGGTTTACTTCGTTGCCACCTAATTCGATATATAATTGGTTGCAGCTGGAAAGAAATTTTCATGAGCAATTCTTCAGGGGGGAGACACAAGTAAGTCTTATCGACTTAATGAATATAAAGAGATATAATCATGAAAGCGTAGATGATTATTTGAATAGATTCAGACAAATGAAGTTGAGATGTTTTACTCAAATTCCCGAATTTGAATTAGTCAGAATGACATCTGCACGCTTAGAATTCTCGATTAGGAAAAAGTTAGTTAATTTACCATTGAATGACATGGCTCAGCTAGCTGATAAAGTGACAAGAGTGGAACAAATCGAATATGAGAAACAAAGGTACAAGAAATTTGAGAAACCTATGAAGAAAGAAAGGGTAGCATATATAAATGACATATATGAAGAAAATCCCAGGATAGAAGTAGATATTAAAGAATTTGTCGATGAGAAAGTAAATATAGCAGAGCTCAAAGTAGAAGCTCCATATATTTGTAAATTGCTACAGAAAAATGAAGTAAAAGACAAAATGGCAAATCGCACATATACTTTTGATGTAACAAAGGCAGATAAAATCTTTGATATTTTATTGAAAGATAAACAGATTAAGTTGAGTGATGATCATAAATTACTTTCTGCAGAACAAAGAAATGGGCAAAAATATTGCAAATTTCATAATATCTATGGACACTGGACTAATAATTGTATACATTTCAGGAACACGATCCAAGATGCGATCGACCAAGGAAGATTGAAGTTTGAGCAGATGTCAATGAAAGTGGATACGAGTCCATTTGAAGTTCAAGTAGGGTATGTCGAATCCCAAACAGGCATGACTGAAGATGTCCGATTGATAAATTTGACCTTTATAGATATGGTCGATGTTATTGAAGACATTGATCCCAGACACGTCAGAATGGACATGTCAGAAGAAGACATAGAGTTCGACCTAAGCGAGCTCGAGAAAGAATTTGAGAGAGAGATCTATCATCGATCAGAAGATTCCCTCGTCAAATTTTTAAACAGAAAGAAAGAGAAAGACGAAGGTGTGACATTATGTCCACGATGCAGTGTGGTGTTCGACAGATCAGCTGCTAAAGCCTTCAGGGCAGGACAGATCAAGAAAATAGATGATCAACATAAAAGTTGCAATGATAAAGTAGATCAAACAGTTCAAGTCACGGTTGGGGAGAGTCAGCAAAAATCTGTTGGTTCTGGAGCTAGTAGAAACCAGAAACAATGGGTTAGGAAAGAAATGTATTCTCCCCGGGAAGGAAGGGGCAGACTTTAAAATAATGATGTTTTCGATAGACTTTCATATGATGAAGGA